AAAAAAAAAAAAAAAAAAAAAAAAAAAAAAAAAAAAAAAAAAAACTGCCCATTAATAACAAAAAGTGTTGCAACCCATCTTTCATCTCTTTCTTTCTCTCGTTCTTTTTCATTTCACACTTTTTTTGGGGGGTGTTAACCCGAAAACAACAAACATGGATATCGAAGCTTTATTATTTTAATAATAATAATAATAACAAAAACAAATACCAGCCATACCTGACAGAAACAAATAATATTGGGATGGGGGGAGTCAATAATAATACTAGAAAAGGAAGCTCGTCAGTGAAAAGACAAATAATAACAAAAACATAAGGCAATGTATCAACCTTCATAAAGTTGTAGCGTTCCCTTCCGATGGATTCATTTTCTGCTATAGCGAAGTAAGCCAGAATGGGGTAGTGACCAACATATGATGCATAGCTATCACGCTGAACGTTCACGGCCCATTCACTGTACACACAGAGATGTGAACTGAGGTTTACACAATACTATGCAAAGCAATATAAGATCAAGGCTCCAAAGGAAGAAGGAGACTAACAATCTATTTAAGTCAGCGTGCCCAGTTCCCACATATTTAGTCTGAAGGTGCTCAAGTTGGGAATTGATGTTAAATCTATCACTGGCCTGTAGTGAATATCAGAAACCAATATTAGCGCCCATATGAAACAACCTCAAGCAAAGACAGGAAGCCATGATCAGCTCTTAAATTTGAAAAATGGATTACTGATTCAAAGGTTATCACTGCCTATGATACAATGGGAAAATTACTATATAAACTAGGGACTAGAGTGGTATCCTTTCCTTGGAATGAAATGAATGAAAGGATTTCTAGAGGCAAAGAGCACGCTTCTGATAAGTTCTTCGATGCTATAGTCTATCATGGTATCAATTGGTGTAACTCGTCTTCGCTATTTCAATTCTGTAGACCTGCACTTTTTGTCCAATTGGAAAATTTTCTTGTACGGCGCTTTTATAAATCTCATACATCAAAACATTTGTTATCTATCAAAATATATACATATATGCATTTCCCGTTCTGGGTTGTTCACTTCAAGCAGAGCTGATTTTCATGATTGCATCAGGGCAAAATAACTCGGATTCATATGGCAACTAAAAGTAAATAAACTTAAGCGGTAACCAAGTATATGAATGAATGACAAATGGAGTTACTAATACCACGAAGAAACGTCTCCCAAGATATCAGAAACGCGACAATGCAGAACAAACAAAAATCTCATATAAACTAAATGGAACGGTCGAATGTTAGTACGAACAAACGTATAAATTAGGCTCTTCCGAAATGAAATTGCAATGAGTTCTAGGTTTTGAAATTACTGCTGAAATGAATGAACAACAAAGACGAAAATGCGCACCTGCATGTTCGATTTGGGGCAGATGCGATAGCAGAAGAGCAGAGAAATAGCGCGAGGTTAAGGTTGAAGCCTCTCGCGCCATATAATTCTTAAATTCGCATATGAATTAATCCTCAAAATTCAATGCATTAACCATTATTAAATATTACCCTAAATTATAAAAAGTAATCTCATGCATTAACCACTTCTGCTACGAAAAAGGGTTGCGATAAGAAACTCTCAATTTTTCGTGCTCATGCTACAGTTAAGCGATCTTCTTCGGATAATTCGTCCAACCCAAGGATGGCTATAATGTCCAGCAATTCTCTTCCATCTTTCGATTTTACATCTTTTTATCTACAAATCGAGAGCAGTTTGTGAACGTTTTATAATCTTTGTAGAATTTTCATTGCAAATAATGAAAACATTTATGACTTTCTCATTTAGGCAAGAAAAAGAAAGCTTACCTTCAGCTAATATGGCGGTGGAAGATCAAAATTAAGCAGCATTATCCTTCTTTTAGTGAGATCGGTAAAACAAAATATTCATTACAAGAATGTGAAAACCTTTCCTTATTAGTCGCGTTTTAAAACCTTAATAAAAAGTCCAAAGAGAACAATATCTACTAACGATAGGCTTGAGCTATTACAAATCGTATTAGAGTTAAATACTAGGCGGTGTGTCAGTAAGAACGTTGACCCCTAAGGGGATAGATTGTGAGATCTCACATCAGTTAGAGAAGGAAACAAAACATTTCTTATAAGGATGTGGAAACCTCTCCTTAGCATACACGTTTTAAAATCTTGAGGGGAAGCCCAAATAAAACAATATCCGTTAGCGGTGGGCTTGGACTGTTACAGCTGGGGCTTCAACAGTATCTGTGACCGATTAGCTAAGAAATTAGCTAAGAAACAAAGTTCCTAGTATGAGCATTACCTCTATTGTGTCCACACAATCAGATAGAACACATTGGTTTATATAAACAACAGGAACTGCATATTTAAAGAGTTTACTCACAGTGGACTCATACAGCATATAATCTGACAACTTGGTCGATTTTAGCGCGACAAACCGGGCAGCCCCATTTCTTGGATTTGATCTCGGTCAAACAATTCATGCACCCAGCCATATGGCCACAGGGTATGCAGGCTCCTTCAATAGGAGCATCCAAGCATATAACACATGAAGAAGAACTCGTTTCCTCTTTTCCTTCACCTGTTTGTAAGGGAACTGTCTGGGTAGTTGGAGATGACAAGTCAATCGGACTTGAATCAATTGAAGGATAGTGAATTGTACCATCGTCCAGAATCTCATCTGCTGCCAATGGAGCTGAAGGCACTGCATCTGGAGGGATGCTGTTCATCTGGATTTCGGGATGTTCGTTTGAACTGCTGCTGCTCTGGCCAGCTTCGTGCAATTCTGATTCATTTGTGCCGAATTTCGTAGAATGTGTTGTTGGTGCAACTGACCCTGTATGGCTAGTAGAGGTACTTGCTTCAGAACTTGGATTGGGTTCAGGAAAGAGTGGTCTCCCCTGGATAGCTGACTGAATGGAAGCACTGATGGCCATGGCTAGCTCCATATCTTCTGTGTCTGGCGGTGCAGTTGCCGAAACGCTCGTATCCTGGTTAACACTCATAAATGGAGGGAGCATCATCTGAAATATTCCAAAAATTTCCAGGTTATTGGGAAAAAAACATTTCAAGAGCTTGCTGAGTCTAAATTCAAGGTGGCTCAGGCAGGAAGATATATTCACCACAGGCCAAGACCGGAAGAGAATGAGCATATTACCGAAGGAATTCCTTTGCAAGCATTGCAAAACCACTGAAGCTGTTCTTTGTCATTTTCATTCCCAGATGCAAGTTTCAAGCGAGTTTCTTGAAAACAAAAACAGGTAATAACAATTACAATGAATTCAAAACAACAAACAAACATTAAGTCAAGATCGAGGCTCCTTGGTTATAACAAAAATGAAATTGGTCATTCCTCGTGTGTTCGTGCGCGTTACTGTATTATCGAAGTGCGAAGGAGACTTGGAAGGTACAAGATCAAAGTCATCAGACCTATAAAGAGATCTTTGATTTCGAAGTCGGCTAGGCTATGCACAAAGGCAATTATAGAACCATGAAATGAATGCATCTTTCAGTCCCAAGATGGCCAATATAGAGTCGAGACTTACTTGTGGTGTTATCCACAATCATAACTGATGGATCAGAATTCTGTAACTTCGTCTCCTCCAAATCGGCTCTCCATAGTCGAACAACAATACGTGGTTGAGCGTCCTGTCATTTACAAAGAAGGATTACAATGATACGAATTGTATGTGTTATTTTCATGTCAATTGTATGTGTACATTTAGATAGTGACCGTTATGGTATTCATATTGCTTTAGTATAAAGATTTTGAATATTAAAAATGAAGGTCGCATATTATGCTTCTTAAGCCATGAACTTGCTCCTTTGTATTTCTTGTGTTTAGATTTGCATGCTAGAGTCATTTACGTAGTTTTGATCAAGCTATCTTGTGAAGTGATTCGAATCACAAGTTTAAAAACGAGTTTTCTTTACTCTTGATCTTGACCATTAAGGTAATCCGTTCCAAAACTTTCCTTTGGGTTGATTCCTTATTGTTTTTGGAGTTTTTGGATAGTTTAGATCTAGAGAACTCGTTATTTAAGTATTTAGGTCGAATACCAAGAGTTCTATAACATTTGGTATCAAAGCTTTAGGTTCTAAGTCGGTTATACCAGAGCTTTAGGTTCTATTGTGGCAATATCATCTCGAGTCCAGCATTATAATGCAAAGCTAGATATGTAAAAACTCTTGAATGCAATGGACATAGGAAGGGGGAAATTTATTCCCTAAAACCTTTTAAATACTATTAAACATTCTAATCTGCAGAATGATACCTGAAGAGTGGTGTAGATTGCAAGCTCCAACTTGAAAGGCTTTGTAAGACTTCGCGTCCCACATGGTAAAATAACAGCCCAGCTGCAATTGGAATTGCATCAACCACAGGAACATAATTTGATAAGAAAAATATACTAGAGTTCGAATCGAAATCGTAGTTATCGTCAATCATGAAATTTTTATATTAATGAATTCGGGTCATCAAGCCATGAACGTAGAACTAGGAAACGAACAAACTTAAATTTGGAATCATGGGAATGAAGTACTTACACTTTCTTTGAAACCAGTTGAGGAGCCAGTAGTTCCAAAAATCCCGGTCCATAGAACTCCCGCAACCAACCCGAAAACAAACAAATATGACTCTGCAAACAACTCCCAAAACATAAGCTTCAATAATCATATTGAAACAAAATTTAGATTGAATTATAAGGTAAACAAACCTCGATCGTACGAACGACATTGCTATGACCTTTTGCTCTAGCAACATCAAGAGGACTCTGACAATCATCATTCATGATCAAAGGATTTGCTGGAAATTATAACAAAAATTTCCATACACTTAATGAAAATAAACAAGACTTTTCAAATATAGTTGTAAACAAATGTTGTGTTGATATGGAGAGAGTACAACAAACCTCCATGAGAAAGAAGTAAAGTGACGTTGTTGTCAAGGCCTCTCTTAGCTGCATGGTGCAAAGGAGTGCCAGCATGACGTCCTAAAATGCATTGGAAAGGGTTTTAACACTAAATGCACTACCAAAATGCAATGAGAAGAAATTAAATTGAAAGTCCTGTTGCTGAGACACCCAGATAAGGGAACTACCAGGCCGATACGCGTTAACGTTAGCACCAAGTTCTATCAAAGTTCTCGCGACATTGTGAAGCTCAGGACTCATGCAGGCCAAAATCAAGGGGGTTTTCGCTTCCTTATCGATCCACTGAACATATCGTGAAAGTAAGAACATGAGCACCAACTGCTAATAATCATATACTATTAAGAGAACAATCAAATTCAATAATCACCTCAAGGCCTGCACCCTCTCGGTGAAGGGCTTTAATCCCTTCTGAGTTGCCATAGCTAACTTGCTGGTACAACAATTCGTCTTTCGATTGCTGTTGCCCCATTCCACTTCAACCCACAAGAATTAATTAAATAAGTTCAATCGGGATGAAAGAAGACCAGGACTTCGCCCTGGAGAATCCAGTTCAAGACACCTCTGCAGCAATGGGAGCAGCCCAAACTCCGACGGAATCAAGTCAATGGAGCATTTCAGGTTAAATCGATCCAGAATGTGGGGCCGAAGAATAATTAAGGGAAACCAATCGCATTTTTTTCCCAAAAATTAAAAAAGAAAAATAAAAGATGCTTGCGATTGATTTCCAATTTCTTAACCGAGAAGAGTTTCGAACAGAGATGAAACGCAGAAGTCAAATGACACAGAACTGGATATTACCCCTTACCTACCATGTATGTGAGAGTGAATTTCAAACGCGCGATAAGTTTCCTGGATTTTCTGAGGAATCCTTACGAAAAAACAAAGAAGCTTCTGCGACGGAGACCGATAGTAGGGGCCGCAAAAAAAATCTTGAAGTGGATTATCAGTAGCGTGAACGACATGTCGTCTGACGTAGTTATCTGCTTCCCCAACCATTTCGAAAAATAAAAAGCCGTCGACAGCAGGGTTCGAACCTGCGCGGGCGAAGCCCAACAGATTTCAAGTCTGTCTCCTTAACCACTCGGACATATCGACTTTGATATTATCGGCTAGTATTTCAATATAAATAATAAAGCACAGTGAAATTCAGTAAGCATTTCAAAGCATGCACATTCCGTGCCTTCAACTCCAGAGGTTGCCCACTGAATCGAGTTTGGATATCACCCAAATGCAACGAAAATGGAAGTGGTATTACCAATTTCATACAACATATTTAGTGAAATATTGATCGACTCCAATTCAAAACCAAAGTATTTATTGTTAAATTACTAAAAAAAAAAAAAAAAAATAGGGTTTTC